TGGAGGTTCCACTGTTTCAGTGGAACCTTCTACTAGCGAGCGCATCCACTTGCGAGTTTATCCAAATATGTGCAGTTGCTGGGTCGAGTTTTTGCTTCCCATACGCATAGCAAATTTCAAGAAGCGAGGCAGACCTCAAGGCAGGTTCCTGACGCTGGTGAGGGGCTCTTGTCTTGATCTAGGTGAATTGTATTCTCATTTGTTTGGTGGACTATTTATTGAATACTTGGGAATATAGTATGGAAAGATGCTTTAACTTGCATCAGAAATGAAAGAAATTGACATAAATAATGGAGTTCACTTCTCAGCAATTCAGCCACACCTTAGCGGTATTTTTTGTTAATGGTTTTTATGGTTGTATTCTCTTATTTTTATGATTTTGATTGCTTTCAACGATGAAAAGTAACTCAAAATTGGCTAACGTAGGAGAAATGTTCCATTGATGGCTATGTTCAAGAGTAAACAAATGATGTCAATGGCCCATTCCAATATGTAGTAGTGAATGGGCTGACATAATTTATATGATTATTGCATAATGCAATACATTAAAATGTATATTTTTTGTGGGAATAAAATTTACAAATTATTTACAGTTTTATAATAATAATATATAAAAATAATAATAATAATAATAACTATTATGTATAATAATATTAATTACGTATATTAATAATAATACGTATAATAATTAAGAGTATAATAATATAATACCAATAAGAAATAATAATAATAATAAAGTATTACCCTCGTTTTTCGTAAATTAATCCGTTCTGGAGCCGTTATATTAAACGAAAATTTACGATTTGACGAATCAATTTTCCCCATAAGGAAATAATGTAATACAATAATCAGTTCCTGACACCAGAAGTTGAACATAAGAACTTAAGAAAAGAGGAACACTGCGCAGCTGTTGGCCCATAATTGAAGGTCCTTTACAGTTCATCCCACTAACAAAACATTTGCCCAACCCAATTTTCAATGCTACCCAAGAAATAAGCTCTGATGTGCAAGTCCCACTCAAATCCAAGCCCTCTCACTCATGTATTTATCCAACCTAAATTTGAAACTACCCAAAGTCCTAGCCTCAATAACCCAACTAGGCAGACTGTTCCACTCATCAACTACCCTATTTCCAAACCAATACTTTCCTATGTCCTTTCTAAATCTAAACTTATCTAATTTAAATCCATTACTGCGGGTTCTCTCTTGGAGAGATATCCTCAAGACCTTATTAATATCCCCTTTATTAATACCTATCTTCCACTTATACACTTCGATCAGGTCTCCCCTCATTCTTCGTCTAACAAGTGAATGTAATTTAAGAGTCTTCAATCTTTCTTCATAAGGAAGATTTCTAACGCTATGTATTAATTTAGTCATCCCACGCTGAATGTTTTCTAACGAATTTATGTCCATTCTGTAATATGGAGACCAGAACTGAGCTGCATAATCTAGGTGAGGCCTTACTAATGATGTATAAAGCTGCAGTATGACCTCTGGACTTCTGTTGCTTACACTTCTTGATATAAATCCCAGTAATCTATTTGCCTTATTACGTATGCTTAGGCATTACTGTCTTGGTTTAAGGTTGCTGCTTACCATAACCCCCAAGTCCTTTTCGCAATCTGTATGGCTAAGTTCTACATTATTTAACTTATAAGTGCTAGGGTTATGGACACTCCCGACCTTGCATTTATCTACATTGAACTGCATCTGCCACTTTTCTGACCAAGAATAGAGTTTGTCTAAATCCTTCTGAAGTTCCCTAACATCTACGTTTAAATCAATTATCCTACCTATCTTTGTGTCATCGGCGAATTTGCTCATAAAAAGTATTAAAACAAACAATTTTTTACATGAAATATACATATAGTACATAAACAATACAATGGGAAATGATGAACGAAACATTAACAGCATAACACTTACCTTTATTGGAGATTCTTCTTAGTGTATGGGAGACTGGAGGAGGACAGAGATTGGATTGTTTACAGTTTGGAAGGGGAATCCCCTTCCAGCAACACCTCAGGTACCAATTGCTTCTCTTCTCTGCTTCTTAATGCCACTAGGACCACCTTGAGAGTCACTCGAGTCCTGTCTCGCAAAGTAACTGTGGAGAGAGCTCTGTTTCTGGCGTCTCTTTAACACTTCCCGAAAATGGCCCAAGACTTTGTCACTGTACATATTTCTCACCTTCTTTACCACAGGCTTGGCACTAGGAGCTTTCTTTGGAGCCATGGTAGCTTATTTAGTAATTGCAAGCACTAAAATGAGTGGAATATTATGAAATATTTCGTAGGAGCACTTGAGGGGACCTTCACTCACTGGTAAACAATGCCAGACTGGCTGGGTAGGGAGGCCGCCCCGGCTCACACTGTGCATACGCGTCCCGGATGAACTACTATTCGCGAGTCAACCTATGAAAAGCGAGTCCATGTTTATACGAAAATACCCCTATGATTGGCGAAATTTACGATTGCCGAGAACTACGAAAAGCGAGGGAACACTGTATAATATGCATAATAATACATATGTAGGTAGTAGGTTGGTAGACAGCAACCGCCCAGGGAGATAGGTAGTAGGTTGGTAGACAGCAACCGCCCAGGGAGGTACTACCGTCCTGCCAAGGGAGTGTAAAACAGAAGCCTGTAATTGCTTTACACAATGGTAGGATTGCTGGTGTCTTTTTTTCTGTCTCATGAACATGCAAGGTTTCAGGTACGTCTTGCTACTTTTACTTACACTTAGGTCACACTACACATACATGTACAAGCATATAGTATATACACACCCCTCTGGGTTTTCTTCTATTTTCTTACTAGTTCTTGTTCTTGTTTATTTCCTGTTCTCTCCATGGGGAAGTGGAACAGAATACTTTCTCCGTAAGCCATGCGTGTTGTAAGAGGCGACAAAAATGCCAGGAGCAAGGGGCTATTTAACCCCTTCTCCTGTATATATTACTAAAACTTTCGTTTTTCCTTTTGGGCCACCCCACCTCGGTGGGATACGGCCGGTGTGTTGAAAGAATGAATAATACATATATAATAATAATGCACTACAAAATAATAATAATTATAATAATAGACGGATTCAAAAGGCCATCAGTAGATGGCAGTGTTTACCACAACAAAGAGGGAGCGGTTGTGGCCGCCTCCACCTGTTACATAATGACATATTTTATTCATTTTAGAGTATATATCAGGTTTCTATGTTATTTATATTGTTTATTATTTCATATTAGATGAACTATGATAGATAAATAAACCATAGAGTCGATGATAGCAAAATATTCAGAGAGTATTTTGTCCTGTCTCCAGACAAACTCTCGTCAGCCGCCGCCACCACAAATATAATGACATTTTATTCATTCTGGACTATATATCAGGTTTCTATGTTATTTATACTGTTTGTTATGTCATATTATATGAACTGTGATAGATAAATAAGCTGTAGAGTTGATGATAGCGAAATATTCAAGGAGTATTTTGTCCTGTCTCCAGACAAACTCTCGTCGGCCACCGCCGCCACATATATTTATTTATTTATTCATTTATTTATTTATTTATTTATTAATCTGAACATGATATAGAGAAGTACAAAGAATACATTTTTTAAAGTGCAGCACGCCAAAGCCCCTTGTATGCAGAGCATTATGGGCAGGCTTAAAATTAACTTAAGATTAACTAAGCAATGATATATTCAGTGGTACAAAAATTATTGTAAAACAGATAACAATTTAGTACAAATGAGTATTACAAAGACAGGTCATATGGTCATTTACTGTGTTGCTGTGTAATCAGTAGAATAGAGTATTCTGTTAGGTAATGAAGTTAAATAGTAACAAAGTTTGATTGGGTCACAGGTTGACATTTATGAGATACAATAATGAGATACATATATGAGATACAATTTATGAGATACAATTGTTCAGTATTTATTTAGTTGTGAGTGAGTAAGTGATTTTTGAGAAGAGACTTGAATTTATAAACAGACAGTGTTTCTTTTATATTCACAGGTAATGAATTCCAGATTTTAGGGCCTTTTATGTGCATTGAGTTTTTGCATAGCGTGAGATGGACACGAGGAACATCAAAGAGTGATCTGTGCCTTCTGTTATGGTCATGTGTTCTGTTAAGGTTGGTAAGGAGATGTTTGAGGGGAAGGTTTATGTCAGAGTTAAGTGTTCTATGTATGTAGTAGGTGCAGTAATAAGTATGGATGTTTTGTATTGTGAGTAGGTTTAGAGTTTTGAATACTGGTGGTGTGTGTTGTCTGTAGTGGGAATTTGTTATCATTCTGACTGCAGCTATATAATGACATTTTATTCATTCTGGACTATATATCAGGTTTCTATGTTATTTATATTGTTTGTTATGTCATATTAGATTAACTGTGATAGATAAATAAGCCGTATAGATGATATTAGTAAAATTATTCAAGAAGTATGTATTTTGTCCGGTCTCCAGACAGACTCTCGTCCACCACTAACACCTCCCGTACCACTACATGAATTACATATTTTATTCATTTTAGAGTATATATCAGGTTTCTATGTTATTTATATTGTTTATTATGTCATATTAAGCCGAAAAGTTTATATTAGTGAAATTACTGAAGTAAAGAATTCCACTGGAACGGATTAATTGCACTTCAATTAATTTAAATGAGGAAAACTGACTCTGCAAACGAGTAAATCCAGTTGCGAGCAAGGTCATGGAATGGATTAAACTCGCAAGTAGAGGTTCCACTGTATTATATTATGGGGTGCTAGTAAATCATGGGTGCACAAATTTGGAAACCTAGATGAAGTCTTACTCATTATACAGAATGTATACTATTGAAGACAACCATGACCATAACTAAGTAGACAATGTGTCCCCTCTAACTTTACATTTATTTCACCTTAATTCAGAGCTATACACATTAAAAATTACTACACATACAGAAATGTAAAACTGAAGCTTAAAACCTTATTCATAACTAAATATAATATCACTCACGCTGTCTCCATCATCTTTAGTTGGATTCTTCAATATATTCTCTGTAACTTCTCTGATATCTTTCAGGAAGCGATCAGATACTTCTGGCTGTGTATGTAGAACTGTAACAGCCAAGTGGATGCTAAAAAAGAAACAAGAGATATAAAGATGTTAATGATACTTGTCTGAGCTAAATAAACATTAAAAATGTCCTTATATTTGCATTTTTTACCAACAAGAAAGCTATCAATTAGCTCACTCCAATTATCAACCAGACTGAAACCTAAAATCTATCAACCTCTATCTACAGTATACTAATACACTACTGAAATAGTGATGAAGGAATACCTTGCTCAACAACTGGGGTTAAATTCAGGATCTGAGAATGTTAAAGGTGAGCGCTAAGTGTGATGTTAAAACTCTTACGGGGGAAAACCAGAGTATCCAGAAGAACAATACATGATCAAAAATTTACTGATAAATATTGAACAAAATTCAATTAACACTCACCAAAACACTTTCCATACATGCAACACTTATCATATATATAGGTCAGAAGGAAAATGCAATTAAAGAGGGTTATTAACAAGTGATCATAAGCAGTCTGGAGACTCACAGCAGGCAATTCAGCTTATCTAACTCATGAAATATAAATTAACAAGCTAGTGATATCCCACTGAGACAGGGTAACCTAAAAAGAAAAACTAAAGCTTCTCTTTTTAAATTTAGTAATGTATACGGGAGAAGAGGTTACTAGCCCCTTGCTCCTGGCATTTTAGTTGCCTCTTATGACAGACATGGCTTGAGGAAGAACTCTGTTTCACTTTCTCATGGAGATTAGAGGAAATAAATAGGGACAGAAACTAATAAGAAAATAGAAGAAAACCCGGAGGGGTGTGTATATATATGCTTGTATATGCATGTGTAGTGTGATCTAAGTGAAAGTAGAAGTAGCAAGACGTACCTGAAATCTTACATTATTTTTTTTTTTTTTGTCATGTTGGCCGTTTCCCACTGAGGCAGGGTGACCCAAAAAGAAAGAAAAAACTTTCATCATCATTCAACACTGTCACCATCACTCATACATAATCACTGTCTTTCCAAAGGCATTCAGATACGACAGTTCAGAAGTCCCTCCAAACTGCCAATATCCTAAACCCCTCCTTTAAAGTGCGGACATTGTACTTCCCATTTCCAGGACTCAAGTCCGGTTAACCAGTTTCCCTGAATCCCTTCACAAAATATTACCCTGCTCACACTCCAACAGGTCATCAGTTCCCAAAAACCATTCGTCTCCATTCACTCCTATCTAACAAGCTCACGCACACTTGCTTGAAGTCCAAGCCCCTTGCCCACAAAACATCCTTTACCCTCTCCCTCCAACTTTTTCAGGGACGACCCTTACCCTGCCTTCCTTCCCCAATAGATTTATAAGCTCTTCAAGTCATTCTACTTTGTTCCATTCTCCTTAAATGACCAAAACCACATCAACAGCCCCTCTTCAGCCCTCTGACAATACTTTTAGTAACTTCACACCTCCTCCTAATTTCCATACTACGAATTCTCTGCATAATATTTACACCACATATTACCCTTAGACATGACATCTCCACTGCCTTCAGCTGCCTCCTCGCTGCAGCATTTACAATCTATGTTTCACACCCATGTAAGAGTGTTGGTACCATTATACTTTCATACATTCCCTTCTTTGCCTCCATGTATAACGTTCTTTGCCTCTACAGATACCTCAATGCACCACTCACCTTGTTTCCTTCATCAATTCTCTGGTTTACCTCATCCTTCATAAACCCATCCGCTGACAAGTCAACTCCCAAATATCTGAAAACATTCGCTTCTTCCATACTCCCACCCTCCAATGTGATATCCAATTTTTCTTTGTCTAAATTGTTTGATACCTTCATCACCTTACTCTTATTTATATTCACTTTCAACTTTCTACCTTCACACACCCTCCCAAACTCGTCCACTAACTTTTGCAACTTTTCTTTAGAATCTCCCCAAAAGCACAGTATCATCAGCAAAAAGTCAATTCCCATTTTGTATTAATTCCTCATAATTTAATCCCACCCCTCTCCCTAACACCCTAGCATTTACTTCTTTTACAGCTCCATCTATAAATGTGTTAAACAACCACAGTGACATTACACATCCCGTCTAAGACTACTTTTACAGGGAAGTAATCTCCCTCTCATCTACATACCCTAACCTGAGCCTCACTATCCTCATAAAAACTCTTTACAGCATTTAGTAATGTACTACCTATTCCATACACTTGCAACATCTGCCACAATGCTCCCTTACCACTCTATCATATGTCTTTTCTAAATCCATAAATGCAATGAAAACTTCCCTACCTTTATCTAAATACTGTTCACATATATGCTTCAATGTAAACACCTGATCTACACATCCCTTACCCATTCTCAAACCTCCTTGCTCATCTGCAATCCTGCTCTCTGTCTTACCTCTAATTCTTTTAATAATGACCCTAAAATACACTTTACCTGGTATACTCAGTAAACTTATTCCCCTATAATTTTTACAATCTCTTTTGGGTCCCCTTCCCTTTACATAGAGGAATTATACATGCTCTCTGCCAATCCCTAGGTACCTTCCCCCTCTTTCATACATTAAATAAAAATACCAATTACCTAAAGTCAGTATCTGACCAACCAGGCTGTGGTTCGTACGTCAGCATACATGCACCAGCAGTAACAGCCTGGTTGATCAGATCCTGATCCACCATGAGGCCTGGTCTGAGACCAAGCCATGGGGTGTTAACCCCCGAAACCCTCTTCAGGTAAACTCCAAGTAAACTCCAACACTATATCTGTCCCTGCTTTTAACATTTCTGTCATGATACCATCAGTTCCAGCTGCTTTACCCCACTTTCATTCAACATAATGCCTCACAAAACCTTCCCCCTACTCATATCCTGCTCTTCTTCATTCCTAAAAGATGTTATACCTCCCTGGCCATTGGATGAAATTACTGCCTCCCTTTTTTCATCGACATTTAAAAGTTCCTCAAATATTCCTGCCATCTACCCAATACCTCCAGCTCCCCATCTACTAAGTCCCCTACTCTGTTTTTAACTGACAAATCCATTCGTTCCCTAGCTTTCTTAACTTGTTTATCTAGCTCCAAAAAATTTTCTTATTCTCAGTAAAAATTTCTTGATAGTGCCTCTCCCACTCTATCATTTGCTCTCCTTATGCACTTTCTCACCACTCTCTTCACCTTTCTTTTACTCTCCATATACTCTGCCCTTCTTATATCAGTTTTGCTTTGTCAAGACCTCTCATAAGCTACCTTTTTCTCTTTTATCGCACCCTTAACTTCATTATTCTACTAATCACTCCTCTTTCCTCCTGCATCCACCCTCATATAGCCAGAAACTTCTGCCTCACATTCTAATACTGCATTTTTAAAACTATACTATCCCTCTTCAACCCTCCCCCCCCCACTACCCATACTTGCACTAGTCCACCTTTCTGCCAAAAGTTGCTTATATCTCACCCTAACTTCCTCCTCCCTAGTTTATAAACTTTCACCTCTCTCTTACTTACTGTTGCAATTTTCCTTTTGTCCCATCTACCTCTTTAATTGTAGCTACAACTAGATAATGATCTGGTATATCTGTTGCCCCTCTATAAACATGTACATCCTGAATCCTACCCATGAACCCTTTATCCACCCATATATATATAATCAACAAACTACTTTCATTACGTGCTATATTATATTTTGCATGTTCATGAGACAGAAAAAAAGACACCAGCAATTCTACCATCATGTAACACAATTACAGGTTTCTATTTTACACTCACTTGGCAGGATGGTAGTACCTCCATGGGACCCAGCAGAAAATGATGTCTTTGTTTTAACTAGAAATGTGGTACAACCAAAGCTGTACATGAATAACAATGGGATGAGGAGAATAAAATTTTTGGGTGGCCTATAAAGCACATAAGAAGTCTGAAACTACTACAAATAATGAGGTAGGGAGGGATGCAATATGTATAACAGCCATGAGAACTATATACAACCAGCTGTGAAAATGCTAGCCGAGTTTAATATACACATTCTTGTATAACTCTGTCCAGAAAAACTGCTGCAAACCTGAAACCTTCAGCTGACCTGCAATCACCAGTGTAAACTGCAATGGCATGAAAACGAGATCGGATATGGTTAAGAAAAAGGGAGCGAGAAGCTATAGTAGGAACTGAACTTTCGCACACAGGGAAACAAGAGAACAGACAAGAACTGTAGGAACTTAAGGGAAGGCATGAGTGTGAATATGGAGAGAAAAGAGACATAGAAAAAAGAGGCACTGATCAAACTAAGGACATCTACTAATATTTGCTATGATAAGGACATGAGAGCAGACAAAGTAACGATCAAGTTTAGAAACAGTTGCGGAAGTGGCTGCAAAATGGAGATGAAGGAGAGCTCATCTATCAGCCCCCCCCGAAAAAGAACAAGACACAAATAACTCACAAATGTGTGGGTTATTTGTGTACTGTTCCAATCACAGTATTGCACCTTTTTGTTCTTAACCCTTTGACTGTTTCCGACGTATAAATACGTCTTACGAGCCAATGTTTCTGACGTATTTATACGCACAAATTCTAGCGGCTTCAAATCGAGCGCCAAAGGCCTGGTAGGCCTACACGGGAGAGAATGGGTCTCAGTGGTCGGTGTGCACCCTGTGAAAAAAATCTGGGACCTAGCGGTGCATTGTGGGAACGCCATGTTGTCAGTCCATTTTCACCATGCCTCTCGGTAAGAAGTTCCTCATCCTCGGCGGATTGGAGGTCTTTTGTTCCCAAGTGTAGCTCTAACAGCGATGAAAGTGTCAGTGACAGTGAATTCAAGGGTTTTCAAGTGAGTGTTACCGAAAAAAGTGCCCAGGATAACGTAAATAGTGACGAAAACCCAGATGACCCACAACCTTCGACCTCTGGTGCTGTGCCGGCTTGTTCACGTTCACGTTTGCCTGTACCGGACAAAGGGAAACTATTTGGTCGTGTACAACACCCTGATATAGAGGATAGTGATAGGATAGTGATTTCAAGTCTTAAAACGTTCTAGTGACGGAGTGAATTTTTCCCGGAAAGC